GAAGAAAGAAAGAAAGAAAGAAAGAAAGAAAGAAAGAAAGAAAGAAAAGGCAGACCTCTGAGTTCAAGGCCAACCTAGTTTACAAGTTGAGTCCCAGGTCTCAAAAATCCAAAAAAAGAACTTGGAGAGTTTAAAAAAAAATCAATTGTGCTGTATAACCAGATTAGTCTTTCTGCCACAGCCTCCCAAACGCTGGAATTATAGGCTAGAGCCACCAGGCCAATATCCCACCTGACCTTTTAAGTTTTGTTTCTGTCAGACCTTCCCTCATTCTTCACACTGAAATTCTTTTAAAGAAGTTTTCATTTTAATTTTTGAAATTAAAATATAATTATAGCATTCCCCTCTTCCCTTTCCTCCCTCCAATTCCTCCCATTGCCCCATCTTGATCCCTTTTCAAATTCATGCCTTTTTTATACTGTTTTATATATACATATATAATATACACACAAATATATGTATCTATGTATACATCCAAATGCATTAAATATATAGACACAGCCTGCTAAGTTGTTTAGCCTTACTTGCACTGTATATGACTTCACGGCTGGCCCATTGGTGTTAGATAATATATTTGGAGGCTCTTCCCTGGGGAAGGCTATTTCCTCCCACTACCAGTCCTTAGTTGCTTGCAGTTTTTGTCAAGGGGCAGGGACCCAGAAGATCATCCTTTGCTGTTAGCAAATCAATTGGTGTTGCACTTGCCAATCTTGCTTAAGCAGCCATATTAGTGAGGAATCATGGAAGAAGCTTCCCTGTCATTTCCAGGAGACACAACCTTACAGTGGATCTCCTGGTTCTTCACCTCTTGTAATCCTGCCCCCTCTGAAATTTATACTATTTCCTGAACATGCTACTATGTCCTTTCCTGTATCTGGTTATATACAAGTTATTCTTTAGTTTAAAATGCTTCTGTCACTCTAATGACACATGTATGAGGATGCTGTAATAAAACCCAGTACTTTGTATGTTAACTTAAAATACTAATAAAGAAAAAAAGCAAGAAGGAGGAGGGGGGATAAGATAGGGGGTTTCTGGGGGAGGGATGGGAAGAGGGGATGACATCTGAAATGTAAATAAAGAAAATATCCAATAAAAAATATTAAAAAAAAAACAAAAAAAACCCACAACAATGGAAAAAATAAAACGTTTCTGTCATCTAGTCTACTGATTATTCACTTTCATTCTTTAAATCCCAATCCACTCCTCTTGTTTGTGAAGTATTCACAGGTTTTTCTCAGATTCGGATGTTTTCTACAATCACCTTCCCTAGAATTTTGTGTATGTGCTAATAAAGCACCTGCCACGGGTTGTTATTTTAATTGTTCCTGACTCTGCCTTTTTGTGTACACTTATGAGGGCTCTAGGATCAACAGCCCTGTGTTCATGTTTAATTTCCTTTGTGTCAATATGTGGGATGAGAGGAAACGTTCATTAAATAAAAGAATAGATCCCTGTTCTTACACACACAATCTCCCTCGAGTGTGCAAGTGTATGTGTGTGTATCTGTGTATGTATGGTGTGCATATATCTGTGTGTATCGCTGTGTGTGCATGCTTCTCTCTCTCTCTCTCTCTCTCTCTCTCTCTCTCTCTCTCTCTCTGTGTGTGTGTGTGTGTGTGTGTATGTGTGTGTGTGGTCAACATTTAGGTACTGTCTATTTTTTTTTGGAAGATAGTGTTTCTCGTTGTCCTGTGCTTTCATTCTCAGCTGTTTTATTTAAATTTTTATTTGTTTAAGATTTACTTTCACTTCATGTGTATGGGCACTTGCCTGCAGATATATATATATATATATATATACCATGTGTATACCTGAAGCCCACAGAGGCCAGATGTTGTTAGGTTCCTTAAGACTGAAGTAATAGACTGTTTTTATCGGCTATATGGGTACTGGGAATAGAACACAGGTCCTTTGCAAAGATCATCTTTCCAGCTGCACCTATTGTTTTTTTTTAATTGATAAATTTTTTCATTTGACTTGCATTTGTGTGTGTGTGCCTGTGTATAATTCTCTCATTATCCTCTCTTATCTCCCTCTTATCTTTATCAGTCCCCACCTCACTGACACCAATACCTTTTATGACCTTCAGTTCTCTTTTGTGATGGATTTGTTTTAATCTGGGCCATATGCATGACCAATGGCTTTGAACTTCCTACTGGAGCCTGGTGGGGTTAGCAGCAAGCACTCCACTGAAGGTAAGGGTTTTATCTCTCTCTCTCTGAATCTATCAAGAATATAGTCCAGGCTGGTGAACCCCTGGAGCCTCTCCTCCATCCATATCTGATTGCTGATGGGCCCACTCAGAGCCAAAGTGTGCATTTGCAGCTGCTGTGAGTTCAGGATTGCAACTGCTGTGTCTCCTGCAGTAGATAACATCCCAAAGACCTACCTCCTATCTGCAAGCTCTTACATCCTCTTCAGCTATTTTTTTTTTATGTAGGTTCTAGGAACTGACCTCATTTCTCATGCTTGTGCAGCAAATGCTTTACTGACTGAGCTATCTTCCTAGTCTTTTTAATTGGCTAATAAAAATGATACAGAACTTAACTAAAATGCTTGAGGCCTGTGTTTCATGTCTAGCACAGCAAAAGTACATATTTCTAGGGTAGCATGTGATGTTTTGGTTCAGGTATGCACAGTATAATATTTAAAGGGAAACTGCATTTTTATATGCTCAAACATGTGTTATTTTGTGATGAAAATATTAATAATTCTTTTTAGTTCTTCTCTTAATATATGGTACATTTTTGCTAACTATAGTTACTGGACTAGAAAACAGACCACAAGAAAGCATTTCCCCTTAGATTGTCCTTTAGATATCTCAAGTCCCTTATTAGAGTGATAGATAGATCTTTTCTTGTTGTTCAAGACAGTCATATTATAAATGCTCACTGTGACCTTTGAGCCCTATCCTCCTGCTTCATCCTTCCCTACATTGGGAATCTGACCGTGTACAGTCATATGCAATGCTCCTTCATTTTGACACCTTCAGTATCCTGGGTGCCATATTTTAGACTTTTCAAAATCAGAGCTCAAAAATTTTCAATTCCCCTTCTCAATGATCTTGTAATATGACTAGGATTGGCTGGTGTTTTTCTGCAGGTAGCAGATATAGCAGTTGAGTAAGTCTGAGCCTTGAACCCTTGCTTCCATTAGAACAATGACAATCCCACACAAAGTTATGAACAAAGGGCTGTCTCTGCCTCACCCCCTTGTTTTGATTAGTTAATGCATAGTTTCATTGTGGGTTAAAAACAGTTAAACCTTTATACACCTCTCCTATGTGGGTCTAACACGAATAATTTCTGTGAAGTTGAAGGTTTAGAGCACAAAGACTATGGATATAGCTCAGTGGCAGAGGCCTTGCCTGCCATGGTAGGGCTCTGAGTTCTGTTCCCTGAACTAAAAATATAAGCATACATTTGAAGCTTTGAAGCATAAATGAGAAAAGCCAAAATAATGGAGAAGAAGTAGAAAAGCCATGAAGGCACTTTGGGAAAGAGAAGGACTTTGGTTACTGGCCTGGAAAGGGAAGGTTCAGTTTCCTGCAAGATAGCGTGTTGAGCAAGGCCGTGTCTGGATTTTCTATGGCGCCTAGGTAGGGATGCTTTTAAGTTCAAGCTTCTCTTGGAGAGAAGATGCCAAAAGAATTGCCATGAAAGCTGAATTTGTATTCAGCCTTGCCATTTTAGGACACTGCCCACCCATCAATGCATCTGCAGTACCAGGCTGCTTGGCTGCTGTGGGTAAGCTCACCATGGCTGGCTAGACAGAGGCATTAGATCTTGCCCAAAGGTGAGGAAGACATCCATGAAAACACTGAACCAAGATCAGCACCCATCCAATACTTGTTTGTGATCTATGGTTCTCAGAGAGTTCGGTCACCTTGCCCTGTGCTCATGATAGGAAGAAATGACAGCTCTTGTTCCATATGGTCAATTAAGATCAAATGAAGGCAAGTCTTTAAACAATTACCAATTTTGATAGCACCACCATCACTACTGTTCAAAAATAGAATCCTCTTGGAGTCTAGGTATCTCCGTTAAGCTGGCCATGCTGAGAGCATTGCTATTCTCACTGATCCTATGCCATGGAGTCTGCCTGGCTTTCCTAAGAGTCCCATTCCTCACAGGGGTCCCCCATTCCCCAATTCTGGCTTCTGTGCTTCTTGTCCTTGCTGTGTGCACAGTTTCTCTATGGATGGGCAGTCTTTGTCACTATATGGGCTGGACCTGAGAACCTAGTGGCAGTTCAATCACCCTAGGATACTCAAGGAGAAATGGCATGGTGAAGTGAGGCCAGAGGAAGCATTCACCAAGAAGACACAGTATGCTGGCTCCGTCAGACCCAGGGCCATAGAGAGACCACGGTGAACTACCAAAGTCTCAAGGATCCTGGGCAATTGATTGGTCAGAATCTCAGTTTTTCTTGTTCAAGGCCACTTGCTCAGTGTCAAGGTAATAGCCTGTTGCTTGCCTGTTTTGAGTGAGTACAGTGTCGAGGTCATTCTGGAACCAATTACTGACCTTTGCGGGTCCCCCAACCCCAGCAATTGTCTCCAGCCTTCCAGTCTTCTTTCCCCTCAGCTGGAAAATTCCAGCAAGCCTAGCAGCTTTCTTGGAGGAAGAGTCCAAAGTCTGGCTCCAAACCCTCAACACGCTTCCAGTTTCCTATTTGTGGCCCAGGGACGCACTAAATCCTTTCCCCCAAAACACAGCTAGACAGTAGTTCAGTTCTGACCCAAAGAGACAGCCTCAGGTACACCTACATTCGGGATTCTGGGGTCAGCTCCTGCTCCTTTGCCTTGCTGGTCTCTCTTGAGCCAGCTATTTTTCTGAGAACATAGTTCTAGCTAGCTCGCAGAGATGACTGACCTGAAATGCCGCCCCCCACCACGATCACATCGCTTTTGTTGCTCATGGTGCTCGCCAGGTTCCAGGCCTCTTGTGTAGGCTGCTACTGCGTCTGGACCTCTGCCTGCTCCCGCGCTGCTCGCTGCTGCCTCACACTAGCACGGCTTTAAGCTGGCGGGCCGCCTGGACTCTGAGCTCCTCCCGCCCGCCCCGCAGGCGCACAAGCCGGGTGGAGCGCTCAACCCTCGCCCCCGCCCCCAGCCCTACAGCCCAGGCACTAGGAGGCAGACACCCCAGCTGAGAGGGTGATTTGGAACCTTAAAGTCCGTCCCCAGGGTCAAGACACTGTTGCCCTCTACAAAATATTTTCCAATCTGCCTCGTGATCCCTCTGTGCAGCTGAGGAGCTGGAAGCTCTTCCAATCAGAGTAGGGGACCAAAGATTAAGAGCCTTTTTAAGTGCCAGGCACTGTGTTAAACATATTGTGCAAGATTCCTGCTCAATTTCACAATGGCCCAGTTGACACAAGAGAAAAGCAGACAAAGTACTAAGTAATGTAGTAGGAAGAAAAAAAAATGTGTATTAAAATGTCACCTCAGGGGCTCAAGAGATGGCTCGAACAGAGGACACATGGTCAATGCCCAACACTCACAGCCATCTGTAATTCCAATCCCAGGGGATCCTACGCCCTCTTCTGGTCTTTAGTGTGCACCAGGCATGCAAATTATATTCATACATGGAGGCAAAACACCTATATGTGCATTTAAAAACTACATCGTACCCTATAGATCTATCTGTAATTCCAGTCCCAGGGGATGCCATGCTCTCTTTTAGCCTCCAGTGTGTATCAGGCATGTATATTATATTCATTTGTGCAGGCAAAACACCCATATACATAAAAAATAAAATCACATCATACCCCATAGCTATGTGTGATCAATATATGCCTACTTACATTAATAACAATAAAAACAAGGATTCCAAGGTCTGCCTTGATCGACCAAACGGGATTAACATTTCCAGCCTTACTCATCCCTACTTCAATCATCTGCTCCAACACAAACACACACACACACACACACACACACACACACACACACACACACCAGGCCATTGTTGAGTTAACTTCAAAAGCTGTTCTAACATTGTGCTGAGGCACCTAGCCTAAATACATCCAACTTTCCTCACTCTTACATAGAAAAAGTCATCTTCAGGAGCCAGGGGGGAGGGGTAGCTCAGTGGTAGAGCTCTTGCCTGCCATAAACTAAGCCCTCAATTCCCCTGTACCACAAGGGAAATAATCCAACCAACTGCTCACTGATCAACCGCATGCATCTGTGGTAGAAGCCATGGAATCTGGCACCCAGAATGTTGGCGACGGCAGTGAAGAAGCCTTGGATAGGTGAGTGGGATTCAGGGCTCTGCACTGCACAAGGTGTGTTACTTTTGTGTGACCTTAGCATGAGTACCTGGGAACTGTGGCCTTTGCAAATGCAGACTCATTCAAGAAGATTATAAATGCTTGAGCTGAGATGACCCAGGCAAAACAGGGACACATGTGTTCTAATGAGAAAAAAAAAAACAAAGAAAGAATGAAGGAAAGAAAGAAAGAAAGGAAGGAAGGAAGGAAGGAAGGAAGGAAGGAAGGAAGGAAGGGAGGGGAGGGGAGGGGAGGGGAGGAGAGGGGAGGGGAAGGGAAGGGAAGGGAAAAGGCCACCTTTGAGAAATAAAAGCAAGAAATGGTTAGCTTTTGTGGTGATATGCTTCTGTTCAAGATATTGGAACAGCCATCCTCAAAGGAGCCGCCCCTAGAGAACTCCCAAGTTGAAAAGAACCAAAGACCAACCTCTAACTCCTCTTCTTTCCCTCCCCAAAGCCTAAGGTAGTTTGTGATTCTTTTGCTCTTAGACTAGAAGAAATAAACACATCTGTTGTTGAGGGTCACTAGAGACAGAAAAAGTCTTGCTCTTAATGTGTCCATTTTTAACTTGACAGGATTTAGAATAATACAGGAGACACATCTCCAGGTGTATCTGTGAGGGTGTGCCCTGAGATGTTTAATTGGAAGACCTGCCCTAAATATGAGTGGCACTGTCATATAGGCTTAGAATCCAGGCTGAATAAAAAGGGATATACAAGAAAGCAGATGAGCATGAACCAGCATTCATCTCTCTCTGCTTCCTGACTATAGTTGAGATGCAGGATGTGACCATTCCCTACCACTGTGGGTTCTCCATCGCAATGGGCTGTATCCCTTCAGTGAGTCAAAACAAACACACACTTTCTCTCTTCCATTGTTTCCTGTCAGGTACATTTTTTTAACAGGAAGGAGAAAACTAAAAAATATACTTATTTTCTAAAAATCTCCAAACACATGAACCCTGAACCTCCAACTACAACCCCACTCCAGAAAATGACAATTTATCTCATCCTGCAGCCGTCCTGCATTGACTCATTCCTTACTGCTTCCTTCTGGATTCACCTCTGTCCATAACTCCCTGAGTCAGTGGTCTTTTACAGTCTGTACCCCTCTTCAGTTTGAAAGTAAATCACAGGTAAGATGGGATGAAATAATTGGAGAGGCTCTTCATAAGATATGCCTGAAATCCCATTTGCTTCATTCCAACAGTGCTTCAGCCAAAGGTTTGAATATATAATAAGGCTTTGAGTCCAAGACAGACTGTACCTTCTCTATGTCCACCTGACAATGAAGCCAAAAGTAAAACCAGAGAAATTCCACGGCACCTGGAGAAAACTCACTGTTTTGTTTGAACAAAGCTGACCCATTACCTTGTAGTTTATGAGATAAAATTGATTGAATCAGAACTCATACCTTGAAATAGAGTGAAATAGAACCCTTTGAAAGGGTCTCTGAAGCTACTTTTTGACTCCACACAGGCAGTCATCCAAGCCTATTTACAGCCTTCAATCCCATGGGTGAAATTACAGCCATAGTCTGTCTTCTCTCTGTGTTTCATTGACAAAATGAATATAGTGCTTCCTAAACTTGAACAAGCATACACCACATCATGACTTGTGGAAAAAATCAGAGGAAATACGTTTCTAACAAGCTCTAGATGGTAGCCATGCTGCTGGTCCCCCCATCCATACTATTTGAACACAAATGCAGGCTTCTGCTTCCCTATGAATTTTAGACCAAGCTCAGGCTCTAGAACTACCTGCCAACCTCTACGAAGCCTCTTTAATAATCATATGGAAGATATCTGATATGATTCAAGCATGGTTTCTTTCTACTAGACTACATGTTGAAGCTTAATTCTTCAAAGCACTGAGAGATGGTTTGACATATAAACCTCTGGCTATGGGAACTCCTTCTTGTCAAGAAATTAATATAGTTTTAAAGGGTAAAGTATTATTTTAAAACACCATGTTGTTATAAAGGGAGCCTGCCACCTCCTCTCCATCTACTGCGTCTCTCTCTACTTTGTGTGTCTCCATCTACTTCCTCGTCTACATGGAGTAGCATGAGGACCCCACCAGAAACCATTTATATACTAAATCCATGTTCTTGGCCTTCCAGAATTGTAAGCCAAAATCAGTATTTTTTTTCTTTTCTGAAAGTCTCATCCTCACTTATTTTGTTATAATGATATAAATCAGAAGAATAGAGTGTCTATTTATTATATTAGTGTTTATTGAATAACTGCTATGCTGAGCCCTAGAGGAGAAAAATAAGATAGAAGGTTTCCCTTACCTTCTTCATGGGGCTCACATTTCATCAGAAAAAGACAGTCAGGAAGAGATATCACAAATGTGATATGTATCAGGAAAAGATAACCTAGCTAGACAATCATGGAGGCCCTCCAGGAGGAAATGACATTTCTATTGGGATTAATAAGAGTTAAGCATACCCAGCAGAGTGAACAGTAATTCTAAATTGGAAGGCAAGGCAAAAGCTGGAACATTGGAGGAAATGGACACAGGCTGATGCACAACCCATCCTCCCCATCTTTAAGACTATCCACAAACAGCCTAACATTAATAACATAGCAGTGAGTGACTCAATAGTGAATAAACGATGGGAAGCATCCTTTGTTTCTGTGTGTATTCCTGTCTTCTGTCCCCAGCTTGGTAATAAATCACTGCTGAAGAGGACGTGTTATCTTTTATTCATCCATTAAAGAATAATTTATTGAGCACCAACTTGATACCAGACATCGTGTCCATCATTAGGAATATGGCATCATAAATTAAAAATGATGCTAATCCTAGCAAGGCTAAATATAAAATCAGATAATTACCAGAAAGCTAATTTATGTTTCATCTGAGCAGTGCTCAACACCTCTCACAAAGCCATATAGAGGGGTGCTGTTTGCCCCTAGCAGGATTTATTTGCCTTTTCAACTTTATGAAATCCATGTTTCTTTCATCAATTAAAATGACCACGGTTTGCTTTCATTTCTTTTTCATTAGAAGACTGCCAAAGAGATAAAATGTCGTTATTACTTCTTTCTTGCTGGCTAGCTTTTCATTAAGGGATATTTCAGTGAGTCTCTTATGCCACAGGAGGTTTCAATAAAGAGGCAGGCTGTGTAGAACACAGTGCACCAGATACTATCTAAGTAGTACATTTTGCCTTTCTTTTTTCAATACTGGAAGCTTGACAGGGGATAGAAATTTCATTTTAAAATTAGATTCTTTAGAGCTTACCAGTTTTCCCCCGAACAACTATGTTAATCTTTTTTTTCAAACTTGTATTGGAGGGTAAAATGATGAAAAGCACCAGCCCTTGCAGCCAGGACAGTACTTTCTTTAATAATGTTGAGTTAAAAGTGTAAGACCTGTGGTGCATGCAATAGACTATCTGTCCTCATCTTGGATGCTAATCTGAGTGTTGTTTGGAATACAAGAGTTGTTTATGGAGTTGGATGGTATATTCACAGAGCCCATGAATTGGAAAGGCTCAAGAATCGAAACCTTACTCAAAAGTCCATAGGCTGATTTAACAATGACAAAGAAGTTTTAGGCATGGTGGCATATGCCTACAATCCCAGCATTTGGGAGACAGAGGCAAAGGGAACAGAAGGCAAACACACAACAAATTACCAAAAAGAATAGTTCTAACAGGGCCAGAAGACTTGTCAAAAGCTACATGAAAGTAGTATCATCAGGGAACAAGCTGGTGACTTAATAATGTAACTGCCCAAAAGCTTTGTGAATA